AAGGAGTGGATGGTGGGTTGAGGTGCCAACCTCATGGTTCAAACCAACCTCGTGGTACAGTTCTTACATAAAGCACCATACCAGGACTCCTGGGAAATAATTTGCTGTTGTTAGGTGCCGTCAAAGTCAGTTCTGACTCATAGTGACTCTGTATAGGGTTTCCCAGGAGCAGCTGGTGGGTTTGAACTGACAACCTTGTGGCATGCAGTGCAGTGCTACTCCTACATCACCACACCAGGAGTCCTGGGGAAATACTAGAGAAATGGAAACATATCGACCTAGATGGAGGCGGTGTCAAAAAGCAATATCCTCACATTTTGATGGAGGTGGTGGTATGCCGTGGAGTCAGTTCTGACTCATAGTGACCCTGTATAGGGTTTCTGAGGCTGTACATCTTTACAGGAGCAGAAAGCCTCATCTTTCTCCCGTGGAACAGCTGGTAGTTTCGAACTGCTGACCTTGTGGGTAGCAGCCCGACTCATAACCACTACACTACCAGATACTTCAGTTTAATCAAGACTTCAATGATTTTATAGCAACTTTTTGACTTACCCTTGTTTAATCCATCTCCTATAACAGAACCCAAGAAAAGAAAATCCATGCCACATAGGCTGCTAACGAGAGAGCTGGGATAAAGTCAAGAATTATTTTTGCAAATTGGTTATTCAAGAACACAACTGTTCATTTATTTGAAACATTTTATTGGATATATTTGGTTTTGTATTGGGGCACAGAAAGTTAAATTTCTCTATTCCCTGCCTGATATTCAGTTGGCCATGCATTTCCGTTAAGCACATCCTAGGTCCAGAGGTCACTGCCTAGTTTCCTACTTAATATCATTTCTGACCGCTAGTGACTCTTATTCCTATGGTTCCCATAACATTAGAGTAATTAGAATGGGCCTTCACTTTCTGGCACAAACATACATCCTCCTTGTCTCTTCTCACGACTTCTTCAGGTCCCACTGAACCCTATGCATTTATCTAACTAGCAATGTTGGCTCATGTGTACTATTACTCTTTGGAAGAAACTTTTCTTAAAATAAATGAATGAATGAATGAATGAATGAATGAATGAATGAATGAATGCAAAAAAAAAATCTTGCCACTTTTAGCCTGACAAAATGCCATTCAGTCTTCTTCTTGTGGGTATTATCAAGAAGGTCATGACTTAATTATACTGTATAGAATTTCCGAGGCTGTTAATCTTTATGGAAGCAGAAAGTCTCATATTTCTTCTGTGGCTGGTGTATTCAACCTGTTGACATTGCAGTTAACAGCCCAATGTGTAATCCACTTTGCTACCGGAACTACTTCCATTCAACCTATCTCCTGCCAAAACATACCAGAAGGTGCCTGTCACTCACTATTTTTCCTCCATTGACCTGGGAGGAAACAAAGCATTACATGATTTAATACTTGGTGTCTGACACAAAGAAAGGATCTAATAAAAGCTCTTAAGCATATCATGTAATTCCACTATAATTTGTGAGCATAATGTATTGTATTTGAATTACTGATTTATGTGTATCTCCCATCTAATTACTTAAGCTTTGAGACTATAATTATTACTAAGTAAGAGCTGTGTCTTAAATTACATAACATTCAATGTTTCTTGAAATTAAATCATCTTATGTTTTCTCTTTATCTCTTGTTCCCTCCCCATTATCCATTGGCCAGTAACAAATGATTAGAAAAATCAAGACTTTAAAGGACCTGTTGATCAGGAATTAGCCATTATGTGATTATTTCACCCAGAAGACATTCAGCCATTTCCCAGATATGATATTTTACTAGGAGCTTTAATATAATTTTGACTTTAAGTTAAATGATATTGTTGCTATTGTTATGTGCCGTGGAGTCGGTTCCAACTCATTGCGACCCAGTACAGGGTTTCCGAGGCTGTAAATCTTTACGGGAGCAGAAAGCTTTATCTTTCTCCTGCGGAAAGTTATATGATATAGGAATAGTTCATATATTACCCTTATCTTTGGTATTTAGTAACTAAAATCAGGTATGGGAATTTCACACCATTTCTTTCAGTAAGCTCTTAAATCAGATGTCTTTTGGATAATTTGCTTGATACAAAGAAGAAATATAGAACCTGGAAATTCTCTGTAAGAAATGCTTCTCTTCATTTGGAAAATAAAGTGCCAACTCAGAATTCTGTTAACATTCATTTTATAAAATACCTTAAAAGAATAAAGTACTTGATGTTACATAATAACCAGAATTGAAAAAGAATAAAATATAAATTAAGTGAACACATACTATTTTGCCATATCAGACAGGTTTTTAAAAAGCATTTTAAAAAATCCCAATATAATAGTAATTGGGAAGAAAACCCCTCAGTTCATCATTGTCTTTATCCGGAAGTTTTTCTTAGACACACTAAAATTTCAGGTCAACAGACAGTACCTATATTGTTAAAACACACTGTAATTTGTTTCTGAATTTGTCAGTTTGTGAAATTAAAAATTTAATCAGGTTAGATAAATCAGTGCAAATTAAAACTTCAAGTTGAAAATCTGGGAGTAAAATAACATCCAAACTATAGAAATGCTTCTGGAACAGGAAAAAAAATTCACATTATGTAGAAATCTTTGCAAGTGTTCTTGGTATGTGAAATACTGAGTTTTAACAAATAGGTCCTTTGAAGTTGCAATTAGGGCTCTATTATTAAGACCATTTGCATTGTGGGATCCAAGGAAAGGAATAGAGTTAAGGGTCCTCTGTAGAAGGAAGTCCAAGTTAAGCACAAACACTGCTAGATTCAGTTTTAGAAAACATGATCAGGATATATCAGACATGAAGGAGGGAAAAAAGCAAATACATTATGAATATTAATTGACTAAAATATCATTTAGGATAAGATCTTCTAAAACAAGAATATGTTTAGATGAGGTGGGTATCCGTTTTGTGGTAGCCATGATTTAAGTATATGGTATATGGAATATTAATTCATAAAACAATATTCCCAAGTGGTAAGAAATAGGAATCACAGTAAAACAAACTTGGATCATTTCTAAACATTAAGAGTCACTTTGATAATAAAAAATACTTTATTTTTTCAAAACATTTTTTGGGGTGTTCCATAAGACCTGTTCAGTGGCTGTGTGCTGTCAGTGGTGAGTAATTAATAACAGTGCTTGCTAGACCATTTTCCTCTTTCCATTACATCAGAGAGATTTTGGTGGAAGTTAGTAAATTTTCTTTATAAAATAGATCTTTTTTCAAACTTCAGGTTCAAATTCATTATATCTTCACCAATCTTTTCTTTTTCATTTCATAACAAAATTTTCCACATATTATCTAAATGTGCTTGAATGAGAATGCACTGATTTTTTAACATTCCTACTTAGCATTCCTTAATCAATTAGAAATATAATGAAGTGGCAACTTTTGACTTTTATAGTGCACCTGTGATCAGCAAGACATTACAAGACCAAAACAAACAGTGCTATTCCAAAGTGGCACCAGAGACTGATAAAATAAGTGGAAAATCATGACACAGCATGGAGTTCATATTCCAGTGACTTATCCAATCCAAGTTTTAAAGGTCTAAAAATCTGCTTTCGTATACATATTCACAGGAAGAACATCTAAAGCAAACTAAAATTCCCCTCCAGGGACAGAACAAGATCAGAATCACTTAAAAAAATTCAAACAAAAGCACAAAACTAGAGATGGCCCATGAATCATATCATGAAAACAAAATTTTTTTAAAGAAAGGACACATGTCACTTTGTAAAGAAACACATCAAGTCCCCGCGCCAGGTCAACTTGACCGCCTTCGTGAGTTCTATAGAACATTAATTTCCACTGGGTCTGCTTTTTCTCTGAACTCATGCTAAATGTTTGGTCATATCCTTTCAAGTCCTGTAAAGAGATTCTCTATGACGTATCTTTATATTGCACTGTGTGAAGAAAGGAGTGGTGGAACATGCCTGTATCTACAATTAGTCCATAGTTAGAAAACTTACTATGGGTTCATATATTTTAAAGAGAAATACTTTTGTCTCATTTTCACACTAACTTCTCACTAGCAAAGAAGAAAAACGCAAGTTGTCTAAAAAGTCAGAAATTCTTATTGAAAAGTCCAAGGCTTTGTCCATTAGATTTTTGCTAGCAATAATGCATATACAAAATAACAAAGTATTATACTGGAATCTGTTTGAAACAGTTTGTGCTTTAAAAACATTACCTAATATAGCTGAGCATATAATAGATGCTCAATAAATATTTGCAGAGTTATTGAAAGTAATAATATGGTTTCTAAAGAACCAACCACCATTTTGCAAAAAAGGCAAAACTGTATTAGTTTCTTTCACCTGATTGGATGGAACAATAAATGAGAGAATCTAGAAATGAGTAGGAAATCTAATTGTTTGCAGAGAGAAAATTACTAAGGTCTTTGCAAAATACATGACCACAGTAGCATTAGCACTTAACAGTGCATCAAAGGTTTAAAGTTTCCACTGCAATATGGATTGCTCCTGAAGCTGTCAGGAACTAGAGTGTAATCACTCTACTAGAAAATGAACTCTATTCCACTTTGGGAAAGGTTATGACCATAATGTAATCTTATGATTATTAATAAACTTCATTGAGGTCACCCTCTTGTTCAGCATGTCCCAAAGTGATGCAGGTGTAAACAGCAGTTGTCCTCATGACATAACTCCAGTACAGCATTGTCATATGCAAGTATATTTCTCTACATCTACAGTAGTTGTTTTCCAAAATTTTAGATTTTTGTAGAATTGTGACACCCTGGGATGACAGAGGAGACTACAGAAGATTAAAAGTAACAAAACTTACATGAAAAACAGAAGTGCTTTCTATATCACTGTGAAATAGCCCTCAGCAAAGGCAGCGTGCTGAAGAAAAATGCTTTATACATTCAGATTGTTCCCATTTCTAACGGCAATGGTTTCCAAAGGAAAGACTCAGTAGTGAAGGCCACACACATTTTTGTTGTTGTTGTTTCTGTTTTTACATCAGGTTGGTTAAGTTGAAAATCATAATCTGAAATGCATCCTGTAAATGGGAGAAATGGAATTGGACCTCTGGAGGGTGGGGTGGGTAGGTGAGATCAAAATGAATACATGAGTTAGCTGTTGAAGTGGACAGCAAGGGGTGTGATGGGAAATGTTACAGCAGACCTGACCACTATGAAGGGTCTGTCAGGAACACAGTACATGTATCCAAAAAAAAAAAAAAAAACATAAACAAAAGCAAACTGCAACTTCACCAACATGTAAACAAGGAAAAGCATTTCACAGATTCAAAGGGAAGTAAACGTCTTTAAATTATTTTTGTCAGTTCAACCCTGATTTAAAATATGGCTAGCAAAAATAAGAAAGCTGCAGGTGTGGACATCCTGAACAAGCAGTGTGTTTTTCTGAGAAGCTGCATTCTCAAGCCTCTCTTCCTAAGATGCCAGATGAACAGGCGACCCCGTCTTTTCCTGAATCACATCTCACTTCTGCTTTCCATTCCACACTCCTGGAATATTCATCGATTGCTTTACATTTCGGTGTTTACAGTCTTGACTGCTATAGATTGAGACGTGGGGAGACTGGAGGGGGAAAGGCAAATTCTCGGAGGATGCTACGGGCCACTTCGACATTATTCTGGGCTATCTCTAAGGCTCTCTTCACTTCTTCAAAGGCATAACCCTCTCCCATGAGTTTTGCAATTTTTGCATCTACATTTTCCAAAGCTGCATCAGACCCATGGGGCTTTCTGTGGTGAATTTCTGGTGCAGTCCTGCGGGGCCGTGGCTTCGGGGGTCTGGCTGGTGCTTGTGAACCATCTGTGTAGATTTTTAAAGAGAGATATCATTGAAAAAGTGAGATATGAATAAAGATATTCTAACAGAATACTAGTCTCTCATTATTATATATTAAATGCTAATATTCTCATTACCTTTTACAAATAAACTTCTCATCCATACTTACCTATGTTTGTGGGGTAGGTGATCTCATCCCTACTTTGAATAACAGAACACTGTAGTAGAATGTACTGGTAGCTCCACTGAGAATATGAGGGAGCTTCACAAAGTTTGTGGAAAAGTTCCATTACCTTTCAATTCAATTTTTCCACAAACTCTTTGAAGTTTCCTTGCATTATATCTTTTATTTTCCAATTCCAAATTTTATTCTTCAAACCATATGAAATAAAAGATCCACAGAAAGAAAGAAAAATAAAAACTGTCTATGAAAGACTTATCACTTTGTTCTGCAATACAGCTCATTCTTTTTTATCATGACACTAGTCATCTTAGGAGGTTTCTACCTAGAAGAAATCCAACTGATACAACTTAGTAACACTCATGAAAGAGCAACCCTTGACAAGTTTTATATCCCACCCCATGTCACAGCAGAAATGCTCTGAGAAATCTGCCTTGCAGGGTCTGTTTTGAAGTGATGCCTTATTCATGCTATGAAAAGAAAAAAAGACTACGGTAGATGCTTTAGCTTTGTTAGTTAATACACTAGACAAAAATAAACTTGGTGCTCTGCTTAAACTAATATATCCAGGTTCTAATACAGGTTTTACTTAAGAAAAACTGAACCTACCAGAAACATTAGAAGTGTGGAATAATGCATTTGGGTTCCAGGTAAGTTGCCTAATGAAAGTAATTTTTCAGAGTAAACAAATGACACTGGTGTTCATGAATGGAATGTAATTTCATTAAGTGAAAAAAAAATTAATTATAGGCTACAGTTAGTGTGAATGGACTGTTAAGGCTGGTTTGAATTGCAAGGTTGGCAGTTGAAATTTACCAGCTGCTCTTTGCAAACACCATACAGGGTCACTATGAGTTGGAACTGACTCCGCAGCACTTAACGACAACAATTCCATATGGAATCCCAGGACACAAACTAGCTAACTTGAGAGAGCACTGTTATACTGAGTCCTGGTGTGGCGCTGAAGGAAAAGCACTGGATTGCTAATCACAAAGTTGGTGGTTCAAAACCACCAGCTATTCCTTGGATACCCTATACAGGGTTACTATGTGTTGGTACTAACTCAACAACACTTAGCAACAACATATTGGCATTTAAGGAGCCATGGTAGCACTGTGGGATAATCATTGGGCTGCTAACCACAAGGCTAGTGGTTCAAATCTACCAGTGCTCCATGGGAAAAATATGAGCTTCTCTGATTGACAGTCTCAGAAACCCTATATAGGGTCACTATGAGTTAGAACTCAGTGACAGTGGATTTGGTTTTATATTTGTACTTAATTCAAAAGTCCAGATTAGTTTATGTGTGTATGTGTGTGTGTGTGTATGTATATACACATACATATACAAGGGGGGGCTTCAAAAATTTCATTGAAAAAGCCCATTATCTTTTAATTCCATGTTTTCACAAACTTTTTGAAGCCCCTTTCTGTATCACTTGTGAAATTTATGATATGATACACTTTTAAGACTACGTAGACATTAACATGGAGTGCTGGTGTGGCGCTGTAGGAGAAGCACTAGATATTGAGGAGGTTGGTGGCTCAAACTCAGAAGCCGCTTCTTAGAAACCCCATGCAGGGTCGCTATGATTCAGAAATTACTTGATGGCACTTAACAACAAACACCAACATTTATTTAATATCCTTCTCGAAAATGGCAAATGTAAGGCTATAGTGAGGCTAGAACGCTGCCTCACCAACTCTCCCAATGGCTTCAGGTAGGAGTCATCGCTGTCATAAACCCCACTATCACTGAGTCAATTATGACTCACAGTGACCCTGTAGAGGGGTTCCAAAGCTGTAGATCTTTATAGGAGCAGAAAGCCTCAGCTTTCTCCCACAGAGCAGCTGGTGAATTTGAACTACAGATCTTGAAGTCAGTAGTCCAGTGCTTGCTTTCAGCACCGTCAGGGCTCTTTACGTTTATTTTTCATAATAATCAAATTTTAAACATAGAAAATAGGATACATTATTTTATATTTTTCAACTTTTTAAACCAAGAGTAGCAGTAAGATAATTTCCTATGAGAAAGTAACTTGTAAAATACCAAAATCTTGTCAAGTTCAGATAAAATATACAACAAAAGCCTCCAGGATCAAAATATTTGGTTCAGCACCAAAACTGAATGGCTGTCTTACTTTTTTATTTTTCATTTCTTACAGGACAATGTCCAGTTTTAAAAATTATTAATTTTTGTACAGATATATGTATAGTAATATTAAAGTACTCTTACATAAAAGAACAAATATGAATTTCTATTTCTTGTTAAAGTCTGTAATGCTTCCTGAATCAGTAACTAAGCATCTATAATTATCATGGTCTGCTAAATTACATTTCTGAAGTTTCATTTATTTATTAAGTGCTTCCATTATATCATGCAGCGATAGATAACAAACTGTATTATCCTTTCTGAAGTAGGAGAGTAAGTGTTTATTTTTGGATTATATATTATCGTTAGATAATAAGAAATAAGATACAGTAACAAAAAATGATCATATATTCATTTTCAATAAACTATTAGAATTTCCTGCATGCTTTTGTTTACTGTGATAAATCACACAGCAGTCACACAGTTATATCTTGTCTGTTCTGAGACACTTATTTACGAAAAAACACAGATCTAAAATCCTTGAATTTTACTGGTAAATGTCTAAGAGATTTTCCTATATTGTGATTTTGCTTCTGTCCAATACTGAGGATTGTGAGTGCCTGCCATACATGTTAGTGGCATCCTAAGCCACACGTCTAAATGTACAAAGGAGAATGAAGTCATGAGGTGAAGAACTTATTCACTTAAATAAATACTATGTCTATATTTAAGGAGCTCTGGTAGCATAGTGGTTACGAATCAGGCTGCTAACCTCAGGGTCAGCAATTCGAAACTACCAGCTGTTCTGTGGGAGAAAGATGAGGCTTTCTGCTCCAATAAAGATTTACAGCGTCGGAAACCCTGTACAGAGTCGCTTTGAGTCAGAACCGACTCCGCAGCACATAACAACAACAACAAATGTCTATATTTGATCTTGATAAATAATACTGATAAAAGATGGTACCAGGCTTCAGAGAGAAAAAAAAAACAACAGAAGAAACTGCCACAAGGTTATAACTATTAATATTAGAATAATACAACCATATTTGCAGATAACTATTGTAAGGAGCTCTGGTAGCGTACTGGTTACGAATGGGCTGTGAACCGCAAGGTCAGCAGATCGAAACTACCAGCTGCTCCGCAGGAGAAAGATGAAGCTTTCTGTTCCCGTAAAGATTTACAGCCTCAGAAACCCTGTTCAGGGTCGCTATGGATTGGAACTGACTCGATGGCACTTAACAACAACAACAACAACAACTGAATTTAACCACCACTCATCTCTCAGTTTGCCATACTGTGGTGGCTTGTGTGTTGCTGTGGTTCTTTAAATGCCATGGACATTTGAAATACCAGTCACCCATGGTGTACAGGTTTCAGATGAGCTTCCAGACTAAAAGAGACTCAGAAGGAGAGGCAGACTGCTTCCAAATACTTAGTCACTGAAAATATTATGAATAGCAGGAAAACTGGCAGATATCACCAGAATATTGAATAATGAAACATGATGAAGAGCACCAGAATACTGTTGGATATAGTGCTGGAAAATGAGCCCCTAAGGTTGCAGGGCACTCAAAATATGACAGGGGAAGAGCTGCCTCCTCAAAGTAGAGTTGACTGTGATTATGTGAATAGAGTAAAAAAAACCTTCATTTGCTGATGGGGTACAACTCAAAATGAGGAGACGCAGCGGTGAAGAAACATGAAAAAATGGATGTCAGAAGAGACTCAGAATCTTGCTCTCCAAAATGAGGAGGTAAAAGAGCTAAACAGAAAATATCAAAGGGCAGCTCATGAAGACAAAGTCAACTATTATAATGAAATACGCAAACATCTAGAGGTAGAAAATGAAAAGGGAAGCACATGGTCAGCATTTCTCAAGCTGGGGAAACTTAAGAAGAAATTCATGCCTCAACTTGAAATACTGAAGTAGTCTTTATTGAATAATTCAGAAACCATCAAAAGAAGGTGGAAGGAATAAACAGAGTCATTGTACCAAAAAGAAATGGTTGATGTTCAGCCATTTAAAGAGGTTGCATATGATCCAAAGCCAAAGATACTGAAGGAAAAAAATCCAAGGTACACTGAAGGCACTGGCAAAGAACAAGGCTACAGGAATTGACAGAATATAAATTGAGATCTTTAAACCATGTGATGCGGCACTGGAGGCACTCACTCATCTCTATGTCAAGAAATTTGGATGACAGCTACCTGGAAACTGACTGGGGGAGATCCATATTTGGACCTATTCCAAAGAGAGGTGAGCCAACAGAACGCGGAAATTACTGGACAATATCATTAATATCACATGTAAGTAAAGTTTTCTAAAGGTAATTCAAAACGCTGCAACAGTACATTGACAGGAAACTGCCAGGGGTTCAAGCTGGATTCAGATGAGGATGTGACATCAGATAGTTGCTGATGTCAGATGGATCTTGAATAAAAGCAGATATCTATGCTTTACTGACTATGCAAAGGCTTTTGATTTTGTGGATCATGAGAAGCTATAGACAACATTGCAGAGAATGAGTATCCCAGAACAATGAATTGTGCTCATGAGGAACCTACACATAGAATACGAGGCAGTTGTTTGAACAGAACAAGGGAACACTGAATAGTTCAAAACTAGAAAAGGCATTCACCAGGGTTGTATTCTTTCACCACACTTATTTGATCTGTACATTTCACAAATAATTAGAGAAGCTGGATGATGTGAAGAAAAACATGTTGGAGGAAGACTCAAGAACAATCCGTG